CATGATCTCAGCAGGCAGATGTGTGGCTTGAAGTCTTAGAGCGGCTGTGGGGAAAAAAGTCCCTGCCACTGCTCTGGGCTCAGGCTAGAGCAACTTGATCTGAGTAGGTTGGGGTAGCCCAGCAACTTTCTCCTCAATCATCTACACACCCAAAGAGAGCCCCCATGATCTTTAAAGGCCTTCTAAGGCCGTAAAGGTTTTTGAGGACATTTTATGGAGTTGGAGTACAGTTTTACTCTTCAAAGTTATTATAGGGGTTATGACTACTATATTTTTATGACAAGTGGTTGGTTATGCCCTTGATTTATTTGATACTGGGCTTCTGTTCAAGAACACAACCTCCAATTAAATGTGGTTACTGTGGCAAAAATATGATTCTCCTCAGAATGACCCTCTTCAGGGCTGTTTCCAAAAACTCATTATAGTGAAAATTCAAGGCTGCCTCTTCATGTTCCAGAGTATTCCTCCTGTGGTCACTTGGTTTTCTCCTGTGGAGGATTAGAGGGTACCATGGCTGTGGGTTGGTTCCAGAGGCAAAGGGAAGGGAGAGGAAAGAACCTTCCTCAAGAACTAAGTGGGTCAGCATTTAAAACCATAACACTTCAGTGATGCAGAGAGTCATAGATACCAGGAGCAATTTTCTTCAATTAAAGGAAAGAATTATATCCCAAAGAGCCAGGGAAGCCAGGCCAGGACCAGCCAGACCCAGGGATTCAAGGCCTGGCTCTCTCATTGTCCTCTGGATACCATCCTCACTCTCCTTGGGATGTCATGGCACTTGTGACCCTAATCCTGTCCTACTGAGTCACAGATAGCTGGAGACTAGATTGTGCTGTGACCTCATCTTTAAAAAAAATATTTTATTGTAAAGATGCTGTACAGAGGGTTTACAGTTACACGAGTAAGGTAATGAGAACATTTCTTGTTGAACATTTGTGACCTCATTTTTTGTGAATGCCTCGGTGTTTTCCAAAAGTAGAAAGCAGGTAACTGCTTTCACCTCCATGAGCCTGAAGGGTCTAGTTGAGGCAGATACTCCATTCCACTTTGGGGTCTACAGAACTTGTCTCACCAAAACCAGGAAATGCGATAAAGTCTACAGGCCACTTCAGTTTGGAGACCAGAGCTGGGTTCCTAAACGTGTCATATAAGATCACTGACAAACCACCCACTTCTTCACCCTTTCCTCAGCTCCACCGGCTAGCTGTGGTTGCCTTTGTGTGCTTTGTGTGCTGTTTGGGAATCCTTGGTGCCACACCCAAGTGTCTGTCACCAGGCCTGTTCCCAGTTGCCCTGGGGTTTAGCAAAGGTTCACAGCTAGGTTTCTGAAGCCTTGTTCCAAGTAGCACAACCTAAGACAGTTAAGGTCCACAGTGTTCTAAGAGTCAAGTAAGATTCTCCACATGGAGGTCCTCTGACAGTTAAAGTATTTTTAACCCTACTCTTGCAGGGGGAGGGGAGAAATACCCTGGCTAGCGAGTGTGTGTGTGTGTGTGTGTGTGTTTTACTGTTATTAAACTCAAGGCTCTCTGCATGCTAAGCAAACACTCTACTTCTCGACCCATATACTCAAGCCCTTTTGGATTTTGGTTGTTTTGAGGATAGAGTGTTACTACCTTTGATGGGGCTGGCCTCCCCATTTTCCTGCCTCCACTTCCCAAGCAGCTGGGATTACTAGCGAGAATATGCAACAGTGCCCAACTCCCAGCTGTGGCTCCTTAATTGAAGGCTGGTGATGAGGGTTAGATAAACTCTCCCCCTACCCATTCCCCAGGAGATAGGATGTGATACTCAGGAATCCCTCACAGAGGGAAAATGGGAGGGAAGGAGGGGCACATTTGAAGTTTTAGATGATATTAGGCAGTACTTGAACAACTTTTTCCCATACTGAGAGGACAACTATGGACATTGCAAATCACTCAGACCTTGGAACTGAGCAAGGTCACAGAATTCCTGCCTTTTTTTCAGATCCAAGGACTATAAAAGTATCACTTGAAAACTGCAACTTTTTCACACCATGCCAGTTTCAGCACATTTAAAACTTCTGGCATATTATTTAATAGGACATTTCAGAGATAACTTTGGATTATGTGGAGACAAGGAGGAGAAAAGAGAGAAATACTGAGGCACCATGTCCCTGAGGTCTGGAATGCTGGCAATGTCCCCAGTTAATCATTGATACCGCAGGGCCCAATGGGCCCACAGCCAGCCTGCTGCGGGGGGCCAGCGTGCTTGACGCTGGAATGCTGGGAAGCCTTGGGTGCCGTTAATGATTTATCTCCTCCTGGTCGCAGTGCCAGGCACCCCTTCTCTCTGAAGATCATCTCCAGAAGAGAGGGTAGGCACAGCCCTACCTAAGATGGTGCAAGAGCCAAGCACTGGTGCCTATAATCCTTTACTTGGGAGGCTAAGATCTGAGGATCACGATTCAAAGCCAACCCAGGCAGGAAAGTCTGTGAAACTCTTATCCCCAATTAACCACTTTAAAAAAAGCCAGAAATGGATCTGTGGCTCAAATGGTAGAGCACTAGCCTTGAGCAAAAAAATCTCAAGCTCTAGGACTGGTACCAGAAAAACAAATGGAGGGAGGGTTTACAAGAGAAGATAAGGGTGATTTTCAAATTCACTATATGACCAACCTCCCAAAGGTCTTCCTTCTCTAAGAAAGGATTTCCTTGCTTGAAAATACGAAGAATGGCTTAACAAGATAGTAGTTATCTGAAGTCCCTTCCCCAACAGAATGCCACAAGATGACATCATTTGGCCCATGTAGTGGTCACACCTATAGTACCAGCTACTCAGGAGGTAGAGATATGAAGGGTCATGGTTTGGAGGCCAACCTGGATAAAAAGTTATCAAGACTCTATGTCAACAAATAAACTGAGTATAATGGCAAATGCCTATCCCATCTATGTAGGAGGCCATAGGAAGAATTTTGATATGAGATAAGCCAGGACATATATAAAAGACTCTGCCTGGGCTGGGAAGGTGGCTCAGTGGTATAAGCTTGCCTTGCATGCATGAGGCCCTGGGTTCGATTCCTCAGCACCACATAAGCAAAAAGAAAAAAGCTGGAAGTGGCCCTGTGGCTCAAGTGGTAGAGCGCTAGCCTTGAGCTGAATAGCTGAGGGACAGCACACAGGCCCAGAGTTCAGACCCACGACCAGACCCCCCCCCCAAAAAAAAGACTGTCTGAAAAAAAGCTAGAGTAAAAAGGGCTAGAGTTTGGCTTAAATGATAGAGTCCCTGCCCTAGCAAGTATAAGGCATAATTCTGTATGGATATATGACATGTATCACCCTCAAACATGCAGAAGGCTTATTTGTATAGCTCTTTTATTTCCATTGCTGTAGTACCTCAAGTACCTCGAGGGTCTCAACAAATTGACAAGTATGTTATATATACACTGTACAGGCACATTAATAAAAATGAGCATGTGTTTGATATAATCTTTTCTTACAAAAGCCAAGTATGTTGTTTATGGAAATACTACCAAGGAATAGTTAACTGAAATGAAACAGCCATTCTCCCCACTTACATTTGTGTCCAGCTGTGAGCACCAGGCAGACATGATCTTCTTCACTCTATCAACCTAAGGTGTGAAATACCTGCTCTGGAGAGACCCCCAATGGATTCAGGCATCTCTGGCATACAGCTTGAAAATGGAAGCATTTCCTCACAAGAACTCCATCTCTGTCTGAGTATAGTTTAGATTTTATAGGAAGGAGATTTGTTATTTGTTTCTATAAATTATAAATAAGGTGGGTGTTATTATTTGGGGAGATTTTTTGGTTCATTTGTTTTATTTGTTTTTTATTGATGCCTGACTACAAATTAGTGGGATTGGAGAAGGAGGACTTGTGAGCTTTGTAAACTGAAGTGAAAGAGATGGTTGGCTCTGGGATTTGGGGCTCCCTTCCTTAGGAAGAAAGCTGAATATTGGCTAGTAAGTTATCTTGCCTAAATATAAGTGAAGATAGGTGATTACACAAAACAAAGATAACTACAGCGCTAAGGGTGTGGCTCAGTGGTAGAATGCTTGCCTGGCATATGCAAGGCTCCAGATTTGATCTTCAGCACTACAAACTACTACTACTGTTAACAGCACTTCCTTCCTTAGCGGGCTTAGAGAAAGAACTGCACATAGCTTTCCTAGCATGCACACACATTACCCCCTGTGCCTATGTAACATTACTCTGGATCTGCTAGGAGAGGATGAGTTCTTTGAATGCTTTCTCTATAATGCAAGTTAGGGTCAGATAGTGATTCTGCTTTTACCTCATTCCCTTCCGTCTCTGTTGCTTTGGATGGATCTAAGATAAAAGGTATTGCTATCACTATTTTGTGGCACAAAATAGCTTCCTCCTTGGGAAGCCTCTGTGATGACTTCACTACTTTTTCTTGTCCTAGGTCATGCATTGGTGAGGGAGGCGGAGCCCTGTTCCTTCAAAGATGAATCCATTCTGAGGAGCTTCTTCAAGAGCTCTTGGGAAATTGTTTCTCTGAAACTCAAAGGAAATTCTTTTTTTTGGAATTTGCCTCTGCATTTCTATCTCTTTCCAGAATTGTCTTCTCTCTGTATGAGTTGATCTGAGGCTCAGATAAGCCAAGAGCATAGATGGATGTCCACCACTTAGCACTCAGCTCAGATAAGCCAAGTACTTTGAAATGCGTTGACTGTTTAGTAGTAGTCAACACATTTAGTAATTCTTCTCTTTGCTTTGATTCCAATTTGCAATGACTTGAAAGTAACCAGTGTCCTAGGCTCTAAAGCCAGAATGTTTGACTTCTTCACCTTCTACTTTCTAGATTTTAGGAAATTACCCAAATTGCACCTCAATTTCTTCATCTGTAAAATAGGAACAAACGTGGCATAGACCTGGGAGGATTGCTTCAAGGATGAAATGAGTCCATTTGTGTCAAGCATTCAGAACCATACAGGCACATGGTGAGAGTGGTCATAAAATAGAAGCTCTTACCCTTTCTTCTTTTTCTTGAAGGTCCGGGGTTACCCAGAACCCCAAATAACCTGGCACAGAAATGGGCAACCTATCACCAGCCAGGGCCGCTTCCTGCTGGACTTTGGTGTCCGAGGGATTTTCAGCCTTGTGATTTGTGCTGTCTGCGAGGAAGACAAGGGAAAGTATACCTGCGAAGCTAGCAATAGCAGTGGTGACCGCCAGGTGACCGTGGAGCTGACAGTGGAAGGTAAGTCCTAGGATGCCGAGCCTTGGTTGGAGCTGAGTGCCCCTTCCACAGGCCTTTCATTCCTCTTCAGCTGTGTCTTGACTTGCAACAGAAAGCACATTCCAGGCCTCCAATCTCATTGGAGATGGATCGCTGGACAAGGGAGGTAACCAAGGGGATACTTCGTTTGTCAAACTCAGATTTACTCCTTTCCTATGAACCTTCCTGTAGCTTCTACAACATGAAGACTAAATGTGGACATTCATGGTGGCTTACTAAGTCCTGCCCCATCTGACCGACTGTGTCCCACCCCTCCTTACCTGCTCACCCAGCATTTTCACACAGGCCCCTTGCTGCTTCTTGAAAAGGCCTTCCTGAGATTTTACCCTTGTGTGCCCTGTCTAAAGTTCCTACTGCTGCCATTCACCTAACTCATCCTAATGTCCTTCTAGCCTCTTCTCAAATGTTCCCTTCTGACCACCCCAGCCTATGAATGTCATCTCACCCTGACTCTCATTCTTCTAGAGCCTTTCTCTCTCATATCGTGCCAACCCCTCTACCCCCATTCCACAGGATCTGTGGGGCTGAGGGTCATCATCCTGTCCACAACCATATGTGAAGTGCCTGGCACACTCCCTACACTGGACCATACTGAATATTTAGGGAATGAGCAACATTATCATCATTAGTATCATCATGAGACAATATGTACACCATATGAAAATACTGTGTAATGGGAACATGATAGATTATACAGGACTGTAGGCATTCATGCACAGTGAGACCAAAGGAGTATACTCTCAGGAGAGGAACATACAGGTGCAATGCTTACATACATTTGGTCCTATAAAATGATATTTATCGAAATGAATTCCAGGTAATGGAAAAAAATTTGTTACTCCAAATAATAGGAGAGAAACATATCAATGTGTTAACATGGATTAATTATTCTCTATTTTTCCCCTCTATAATTAAAAATAGCATTAACTTTCAAAGTAGGAGAAACATCTGACACTAAGTACAACTGATTTTTTGCCACTGATAAATCGTTCAGACATGGAAGACTATTCTAGGCCAGACACTGGCTGATGTTCAAGGGACTAACATCGGGAAGAACAAGGTGGTCTGCCAGCCTCCCAGACGTAAGATGAGGTTCCCTCAAGTCTTCCAGGCCTTGCTATAAGAGCTTGTAAACCAGAGGGGTCAAACATACTTTCCCTCTTTCAGAAGGCCATCTGCCCAGCCTAGTTTTCAAGGAGTGCTGTGTGTGAGGCCTATGAATGTGAAAGTAGCTAGAGAAAGGCCTAGAAGGGGCGAGGAGCACCTGAGCCAATGACCACTCTTTACCCTGTTTTTCCTTTTTTCCCCTGGAGCCATGGGAAAGCAAACAGACTGTTTTATGTAGCAGTGTGCATAGTTTGCATGCTTTCCTTAAATTCTTTAACTCATAGGTCATTTTAATGACCTTCAAGTGCCTGTGGCTAGGGCTTTCTAGACAGAAAGTAGCCTCTGGTCATTTGCAGGATGGACCTTGTGGCTGTCATTCTGGTTCTGTGTTATCCCATTTTACTCATTTTTTTGATGCCTTAACTATGAATTGAGGCCCACAAACAGAAAGTACTCTGCTCCTTTAAGGAATCCATATTTGGGGCTTTGAATAGAGAGAGTGCTGAGTGAGGAGTCAGAATCCAAAGTCCTGCTCCCAACTTTTGCAAATATGATGTGACATGAAACTTCTGCAGAATAACAGGTATGAGCTCCACGGTCTCCACAGCCTGGGTCAGCCCTTATACTTTATGGTCTATGGTAAGGAAAGACAATTATGTTCAGCATGCAAGGAAGTTATGTAAAATCTAGGTAAGCTGGAAATTTTTTCCTCAATTCCCATTGTTCAGGAAATTGGATCTGCTGTCTCATACAAGTGGGGCAATTTTCAGTAGGTGCTGGCAGGGAAAGCAGTGGGGTAGGACAATTACCCAGAAATAAGAGAAGACTTGGGTTCTTGACTCTGCCCCTTCTCTTACATTTGGTTTTACTTGGGGCAGATGGACTTAGACCTGGAGGAGTTGGAGAATAGCCTCATGGCCTCATGGTTACAGCCGCTCTTATTGGTGGTCAGTGTGCCTTCTGCCCCTGCATCAGAGGCCTGTGGTTAACTCTTGTGCTTTGTGGCCACTCCAAAGGGCCTTAGGCCCAGAAGACTCCACTCTTGTTGCTTTACTCTGACCCAGTTGTTGGTTGTGCCAGGGTAGCATAGCCTATAACAGCCCACCCGACTTCCCTCCCACTCTCTGTGCTGTGTTCCTTCTTCATGCTGTTTCCTTTAGGAAAGAGAAGAGGTACTGGAATTAAGGATATAAATCAAATACTACCTTTTAACCCTCTAGTGATCAAGTTTAGGAAACAGTGGTATGCCACAGGAAGAAAGTCAAATGGCCTTGGGTTGAATTTTAGCTCTGTTGATTTCTAACTGTGGGAAAATGAATGCTTCTGAGCCAATCTGTTTAATAGAAAGATGATGTGAGCTACATGAGCAATCTGAAGTTTGCCAGTAGCCACAGTTTAAAAGTCAGATGAAATTAATTTTAAAGTTTAAATATCTAAAATATTATCATTTCAGTGGACAATTGATGGGATATAAATGTTAGTAATACAGTACTAGACATTCTTCAGCATCTAGAGTATATTTTATCCAGAAAGTACATTTCAGTGCAGACCAGCTATATTTTCAGTAACCACATTTGGCTAATGTCCACAGTTTTATACAGTGCAGTTCTACAAGCTTCCATTTAAATGGGATAAACAGGCTTACCTGGGGAAGGGGTGAAGAGAGAGAGAAAGAAAGAGAAAAAAGAGAGAGAAAAGAAGAGAGAGAAAAATCCACATGGAGTTTCTAGTGGTAAGCAACCCTAGACCATTGCACTTAAGGGTGAGCCTGCCATGTACGGGGAAATCAGGAATGTGCCCCAATGGTGGATGTCCTCATACCTAGCAGGAGCTAGTGGTAGTCTAAATTAGAGAAAGCTTTTTGCATTCAAGGGACCAGAGTCACTTACATCAATAAAAAGTGGTAGAGGGCTAACTTTAAAGGGAAAAGCAAACTGCAGGCCCATAGGAGATCTGGACTTCAGTGGATCCCAGTCATGGTACAGTGTTGGTAATCCCACATGCTAACACAGAGATGCTAATTCCATAGGTCTAGAGCCAGTATGAGGGGCTGCAGTTCCAGACAACCTCATAGGACTACACTTGGACTAGCAAAAAGAGTCAATTATAAATTGGTGGAGATTAAGCCTACAGCTGAACATGGTGTTTCATTTCTATAATCCTTGTACTCAGGAAGTAGAGGCAAGAGTATCTCAATTTTAAGACTAGCCTACTTTGCTTCAAGGCAAGATTGAGATACATAGCAAGAGCGAAATGGTCTGGGATATAGCTCAAATGGTAGAGCATTTGCAAGCTTGAGGGTCTGAGTTCAAATCCCAGTACTACCAAAAAAAAAGCTAGGGAAGTGGGGAAACCTTAGTTATCCCAATGATCCTTTCCCATCCTATACACTAGATGTCACCAGAGCCTTCATTGCTAACAACAAATTACACAATTTTCTCTTTTGTCAATGTCTTCCATCCCCCATGCCAGTGTTGGTAGCTATCATCATTACCTAAGCAAAGTTCCAGCTGGTCTCCACTTCCACTCATCCCAGCTCCAGTGCCCACAGTACTATTTAAAATATCTTTATAAAAGTGCACATCATTCCCTCCATTTGATTCCTCTAATGGTTTACTATTATTGCCTTTGAATGAAAACTTTCAATCTTCTGCAAGGCCCTTTTCTTTACTTCTTCAGTCCTCTTTGCTTACTGACTTCTGGCTGCATAGATTCTCCATTCGACTCAGTATATAGAGCCCTTTCTCTCATAGGGCAGCGGCTCCTGTTCCCTTTTGACTTGGAAACCCTGCTCCTCCTCTGGCTTCAACTTCATCACTGTCTTAAGAAGGCCCTCCCTCCCTCAATACCCCTAGGGGGCTAAACTATGTGTTCCCCCAAAGCACTTACCTCTTCTCAGTCGTTATTCCAAAGTTATTGGTTTGGAATTATCTGTTTTAATTTTCTTTCTTCCTCCACTAGGTTATAAGTTTCATAAAAGCAATGATTGGTATCACACCAGCCTCCTCAACTACAAAAACAAAAAATTTATTTTTTTCCACATTAATGGTCTCTAACTTGCTTTGCCATGCTATCTTCTTTTAAGATTGTTTCTTTCATTCTTTTTCCCCCTTCTACTAGGCTTGAACTCATGGCCTGAGCACTGTCCCTTAACTTTTTGTTTAAGGCCAAACTTTTTGTTTATACCACTTGAGCTCCATTTATGGCTTTTTGCTGTTTAACTGGAGATAAGAGTCTCACAGACTTTCTTGCCTGGTCTAGCTTCAGATCGCAATTCTTAGATCTCAGCTCCTGAGTAGCTAGGGCTACAGGCATCCGGCTTCCTTTAAAAAAAAAAATCGTGCTGGGTGCAGGTGGCTCATGCCTGTAATACTAGCTACTTAGGAGGCTGAGATCTGATCTGAGGATCGCGGTTCAAAGCCAGCCTAAGCAGGAAAGACCGGAGACCCCTATCTCCAATAAACCACCAGAAAACTGGAAGTGGTGCTGTAGTTCAAGTTGTAAAGCACTCGCCTTGAGCTGCAATGCCGAGGGACAGTGCCCAGACCCAGAGTTTAAGCCCCATGACCGACAAAAAAAAAAAAAATCGTATACCTCTTCTCTGTTATTTATTCTAACATGTTTTTTTCTCTTGTATCTAACCCATGCACTTTTGTTTATGATTTATATGGTGACCATTATCATTCATTTCTAAACCCAAGCATGTGGTAGGAATTGATACAAACATCTGAACATCTCAAGCAGTCATGCTTGAAGTGCTATATACTGACATACAGATTCTCTATGTCTTCTTTTTTTTCTATGTCTTCTTAATATTTTAATTAAGACAACATTTATTTTCTTCTTGAAACCAT